TCCTTTTCCTTATTTTCCATAGATAGCCACACATTTGTCTTTTGTCGTGTTTGATTTTCTGTTTGCTTTTCCTGTGAAGTTTCTACTATTGTTTCATTTCCCTATTAGATTATCCATATGTTGACTTCAAAATTCAGTAGTCTCCTCCTTTAGGTTGGTTACCATCTACCTCAGAAGTTTATTTTCACTCACTTAATTAGTGAAATTTTCACTTGAAGAAAGAAATTCATCACATTTTGCTTTGAATAAGAGCTCTTTTTTCCTTAATAGATTTTGTAAAACATCTTGTTTCTCCTTTAGCTGCTTATTTTCTGAATCAGTTTGTTCACGTTGTTTTCTTTCTGGTTCAGAGGTGGCAGCAATTGAATCAATCTCTGGTGATCTTTCTCTCTTTCTGGAGGGTTCTAATTGTTGCTCCTTTTTCCTGCATTGATTTCTCAGCCCTTGTACCCTTCTGGGAACAATTTAGAAGACTCACTGAGTTCATCAGATTTCATTGCCTTCAGAGAGAGTGCATTCTGTGGTCATTGACCCGGTGGAGGGCTGTGGTAAAATAAGCTCAACTGACCTAAAAGAGCAGAGCTGCCTTATACTGAGCTGAATTAATGCTGGTTCCTTCTCCAAAAGTTGGTTGTTTTCAATGAGATTGTTACCTTGGTTTAAGCTACTCCATCTCATTATTTTATTTTCAGCAGCAGACAGTGCTTTTGTCACTCAGTGATTCTTCCATGAATGTAGTTTGGGGAAGAACTTTTTTCTTTCTTGTCACACTATTTAGCTTTGTAACATCAGGCTTCAATTCACATTCTTTAGCTCTTTTCCTTTTCCTCATTCTTTTCATCTTGTTCTCTTTTTGAAACATCTCTCATTTTGTACAGATGGTAATTTTTTCTTGAGGAATTTAATTCTGATTTAAAATCCTATGGTCGTTTCGTGAACTGTTTTTTGGGTTTTTTTTTCTGTTTGTAGAATTTGAATAGACTTTTGCATATCATGAATTTTAGATTTCGTGATATTTAGGTCACTTTCTCAGATTCCCTGCTGTAACAGATTTTCAAGTTATTCAATTTTTTCTTCATATTCATTTATTTATGACTAGAGGCCCGATGCACGAAGATTCGTGCAAGAATGGGCCTTCCTTCCCCTGGCTCTCCAGCTGGAGCCACCTTTGCACCTTCGCTCCATCCCAGAGCCTCCTTTCCGCCTTCCCATGCTGCCCAGAGGCCCCGAGCAGCTGGGGCGGTGCTGAATGCCTGCTTAGTCGCCATGGTGACGATGCAAGTGTCCTGCCCTACCCAGCTGCTTGGCACCTGTGTATGCAAATTAACCTGGCACCTTTGTTGGGTTAATTTGCATACTCACTCCTGATTGGCTGGTTGATGTTGTGAAGGTACGGTCAATTTGCATCTTTCTCTTTTATTAGTGTAGATACCTACCCCTTACTTATTCTAATTTTTGTTTGTGAACATTCTGTAGCATTGCCATTTCAAATTGATGTTTATCAACATATTTGTTTTGCTTCTGTTTAAGTTTCTTGATGGTTTATTGGAATTTGTAGAATTCATGGTGATTACAGCTGTTGGCTGTGGAAGTCTGAACAAAACACCTCGAATGGGTAACTTCAGCCTCAAGTATTACAGTTGTATTTGACAGTTTATTTCCTGAAATCAGGTTAGGAAAGTCCATGTCATCTCCATTGCAAGCTGAAGCATGAAGGTTGATGTCATCACCACTGAAGGTGATGCAGGGATGATGGTACAAGGCAAACTCCAAAATTTCTCACTGATTGTCTGACTGCAGTTTCTGCACCTTGTTCTTTAGCACATTCTGTCTTCCTTCCAGAAGTTTGATTTCCAAGTCTTTTTGTTGTAGTTGATGTCAGAAAGGAGCATTTTTGTTGCTTTATTTGAAGCTCTGATGTTTCATACTTCTGTTCTAGGTCACCACAGAGACTTTCAGGTTTCTCATTCTCTGCTTTTGAAATTGCCTGAGTGGCTTCCACCTCCTTCTTCTTAGAATCAAGTGTTTCTTCCTCTCTTATTTAAAAATATATTTTTATTAACTTCAGAGAGGAAGAGAGAGATGGAAACATCAATGATAAGAGAGAATCATTTATTGGCTGCCTCCTGCACACCCCACACTGGGGATCTAGCCTGCAACCTGGGCATGTGCCCTGACTGGGCATTGAACCATGACCTCCTGGTTCATAGGTTAACATTCAACCAACTGAGCCACGCCGGCCAGGCTCTTCCTCTTTTTTTAAATTATTTCATCAGCACCTCTTTTGTGAAGTTAGAGATATGTCTCTGAAAGGAGCTGCAGTGCTGCCCACTTGCCCCAGAGAATGGCCTTAGCCAGAGCCAAGGCCACCAAACCAGGAGGCCATTGCTGTGGGTCATAGGACTGACCTGATCCGCCTGCCAAAAATGTCCAGTGCCCAGGGACAATTCCACCAACTGTCCAAGAATTGCTGCATGGGCAGGGCTAAGGATCAAATCACAGTGATCATTTCTAGGCCACACCTGAGTGGTGGAAGGGTCTTTCCACGTGGGGGACACCTGGGAGCTGAAAGGCCTGGCCTGGGCCTGACAAGGTGGACTCCTCTGTCCCACTGACTGTTTCCACTCCACCAACATAAACTCTACTGCCACTATGGCCACTGTGAAGGCATTGCCTTCAAACACT